ATATATATGTAAATATGTATATATATATATATGTATGTATGTATATATATATATACATATTTACATATATATATATATACATGTGTATATATATATATATATTTGTACATATATATACATATACATGCACACCTATCTGCAAGCGCACACACATATATATATATATATATAGGTACATATATACATATATATATATATAAATACACACATACGTACATAGATATATGCGTTCATGTATGTGTGTAGGTATGTATGCATCTAAACCAACCAACAACTAAGCAACCGAATAACGTGTACATCTACATGGTGCGAGTAAGATATGATACAGCCGTTTCAAGATTCATCACAGTAGTGTTTATAAATGTCTCAATGTGTTTGGTTGTCGCCCGCCTCACCTCTAGCTCCGAGCCGTAAAGCTTGCAGTAGTTCCTAAACCTTAAAGCGAACGCCGCTAAAGCCCCAAAGCCTAGAGACCCTAAAGCTCAAACCCCCAAACCGAAAACCCTAGAACCCGAAAGAAGATACAAGCATACAGCCTAAGGCTCTACAACTTGAAGCCCTCATGGAGCAAAGCACTCAATCCAGGTCTCACGAGCAACCGGGCTTCCTCCCCAGGCAGGAGCAGGGTGGGTCGTTTCGGTTGCGGTGGGGTTTAAGGTTGTGGGGTTTTAGGGTTTAGGGTTTAGGGTAGATCACAGTGTTACAATGTTAGTAATGGCCACGTGTATTGTCAAAGCCCTAGAGCCCCAGGAAGGCTTCTCAGCTCCCGCCCGCCGAGAGGCTCCTCGAGGAGACCAGCCACCGGGGCACCCAAGCCGTGCTTCATAGAGTTGCAGAGGCCAGGGTTTAGGGTCTAGGGGTTTGGGTTTAGGGGTTTTGGGTTTAGGCTTTAGGGTTTAGGGTTCAGAGACTGGGGTTTTGGAGTTCAGCGTTGGGCGTTGGCCACGGGTTCTGTCTGGAATCTGTCATCCAAGACTCTAGGACCCGAGACATCGCAAAACCTTGCATGTCTCTGTTCGTTAAAGGTAGACTTCAGGACCTGCCAGGGCGATCTTAGCACCGAAAAACTCACAACATCTTTAGCCATGTAGTTGGAGGGCGTGCCGTACGCGCCCGTTTTTCTTCACTTTTCAGCTGTTGGACTCGGTTTGGACGAGGTTTTCGCTCTTTCGAGGTCTTCAGATATTCTCTGCTTTTCCGGGAAGTTGGAAATTCGGCATTTTCCTTGTTTCAGCGGCTGCCCGTTGTCCGGTGTTGCGGTCTTTCAAGGAGTCGACTTGCCTCACGTTGCTGCTGCCATGCTCCTGCTCTCTGCTACTCTTAATGGTGATGTTTGCACGGTGCTGCTTGCTGCCGGTAATTCTTGTCCTCATGTGGAGGGTTTAGGGGGTTGGGGGGGGGTGGGTGGGGGGTAATGACGTTCTGTTTCTCACGATGACTTGCCTCAAGTGTACTGGTTCTGCAGTCCCTACTCTCGAGCTCCGAGCTCCTTCGCTGTCTTTAACGCTACGTATGCGTATGTACATAATGAATGTCGTCTTCGCGGCTTCTCGACAGGGCCCACTCAAGCCTGGGACTCTTAAACTTTACGCCAACGGCTTCGAAGACACACTGACTTGGGACAGCGCCGTGGCAAAACGGACGAGAATTGTATGGCGCTGATCGGCAATAAACAATGGTGAACAAGTTGCGCAAGATTCGACAGTCACGCTGATAGTGGTGTCAATGTGGCAGTGATGATAATGATGATGGAGATGATTAACTATGACGATGATGATGGTGGTGATGATGATGAGGCTGACGATTGTGACGGTGATGCTGTTGTCGCTGAGTGGCCAAAACTACTTCCGAGTTCTTAGCAGCCCTATTTTAGCCCTCAAAATCCCTGAGCTATGAATCTATCGCCCCTGCCATTGTTTTCAGCATGTGAACATTCCTGGAAGTGCCTCCCGTACCACGGGCGGCAATGGCCCGCGAATCATGTAGTTGGCATCCTTCGTGTGAATATACAGCTTGCACCGCGCATTCATTGGTGGCTTCGTTTGCGGGTCAGTTTCTGGCTTGTTCTTGCTTGTTCAACCGTTCCTTGCAGCGAACTCTGGTTTGGAACAAACCCTTCTCTCACGTGAAGGTGATCAGTTTGAGCCCGAAAAAGATGGAACCCTTATTGAAACCCGAAGTTAGCCTTGAACTCTAAACCGTGAGCCCTTGTAGTACACTGATTAAAACCCTAAGTTTGATCCATATCCGGATCTTCGACAACTCCACCCCTGCACAGGTTCAACGTCGGCACCGGCGGAGCATCGAGCAAAATGTGACGGGATAAGCCGCTAAAGTTCATTATCCTCAATCCTCAATCATCTACCATAATCTACTAGGTTAGGTCTTGATCCTGTGAACAAGATCTACCATAATATACGAGGACACTAGGATATACTAGAATCTACCAGAATGTATTATAACAGACTGTAGTAACTGTAGTACTATAATATACGTTGATATATATATATATATATATTTTCAATGTGCTGTAATGTTCATCCTCATCGTCGACATCAACTTGCTGGGCCGCACAATGACACAGGAGACCCAGAACGCATCATCTGGAGAGCGTTCAGATGCCTGCGGGCAGGGCATCCACCCGCATGAGTGAATTTGCGCAGGCGTGAGCTGAAGCAATGCAGACGGACGTGACAGCTAATTTCGGTAAGTCCCCGATCATACAACTTGGTTTTATGTCAGCACCGTTTTGCCGCACATACCAGGAGGTCGGTCCAAACCCCAAAACCCGGTGCCGCTCCCCTGGCTCGAACTGTTCAGCCTGTTTCCGTGGCAGTTGCAGGATTTTGAATGCTGAGAGGCTGACCTGGGCATTTGCGAACTTCTGCCTTCTTTGCAAGGATTCGCTACATCTACCCGAGTGATTTGGCAACGTTTCTTGCGCATGGGTTCTCGAGCTGTGTGCAACTGACCTGTCAACCTCTCAGCACTTCCCAGCTTTCCTGTTGGCCCCTGCGATGACGAAGCCAGCCGCGGTCCCGACTCCTTTTGGTGGGAAAGGATTGACTGTTCCATTTCCAAATTGTGGTGGTTCGATCTTTGTGCGTTTTGGGGTGGGCTCATTGAGGGATGCGGAAGTCGTGACAATGATGGTTCCCACTGGAATGAAACAACCGGTCGCCATTTGTCTTTGAATCATGAGAGTCAGTGCATAGCATGTTGAGCCATAGTGCTGTTGTTGTATTGTGCCGGGATCAGTCTGGTCTAACACATGTCCCGGTAGTGCAGTGCCATGTGCTGTCACTGAAGCCTTGTGGTAAGCACACACTGCAATCTGAAGCTTGAAGATAGTGTGGCACAGCAACAGGCACCACAAATAAGAGTTCAGTGCACGCTGGCATGCCACTCGGGGAATAGACTTCTCTCGCTTCATAAGGTATTTAATGGTCCGAGCCGGTAGCACAGGCTTAGCCAAGCGGTCTGAGCTTCGAACTCGGCAGCCTAAGTCTAACCCTCCAGCCGAAGTTTAAACTTCAATTTTCTGGAAACCGGAAGTTAGACTCTCGATATCCCAAACCCTAAACCCTAAACCCTGATGCAACCCCTACATCCTAACTATCGAAGCCACATGTACCTCGCGAGGTCGAGAAGGCACCAGGCAACCCCCACTACCGGGGCACCGAGCTCTGCAGCTTCTTCTTGAAAGGCACCGATCTCCGGGTTCAGAGATTATGCCGTAAACCATGGCATGTGTTTAACTTTTGATCGTATATGGCAGTATGTTATAGCATATCTTTAGGATACTCTAGCAGATATCAGCATATTCTAGTATGCTACAGTATATTGTAGACTTTACAATGCCACAATATCTTATGATGTGATCTTGGGAGGATGTTTGGGCTTCAACGAGGAGGGTTGGGTAGGAAATAGGGCAGAGTGGCACAAGAGAGTGCAAGATTGTAAGTTGAATCAGACACTGTAGTGTCGGGCGGTGCCACATAAGAGTTTGAGAAGAATAGGGGAGCGCAGTATAGTACTCATAAGCAGTAGGATGTAACCCCGTGTAAGTGTGGGATGTTTAACAGGCTCTGCTCCACAACCGTCTGTAAAGTTTTACCGGGCAAGCCTTCAGAAGATGTTTTCAGTGAAATCCTTAGGCCGCCACAGTCGATCGGGCCTGCGGGCGCAACGGGGGTGCCAGTGCAGTCCTCCGCCAGGGATGTGCCGCCATGGTACGAAGTGCAACTTCGCTCACAGCATCAACGATCTCAAGGACACGGCTCAAAAGCCCAGTTCTGTGCAAGTTTGTCTAGCTGTGAAGGGTTCTCAGCATCGTGTAGGAGTGTAGGAAGTGTGCATAACAGATATATTTTGGCATGCCAGCAACCGGCTATGTGCTGTTACTTCTGGCATCATGATGTGTCCGTTCTGCTTCAGCATTCTGTCCCAGGCATCAGTCAGTAACAGGTTGGGCCCGCCTTCGGTGAAGAGGTTTTGGCCGCTCACACCCCCTCCTACCACCCTTTCCACCCCCGCTGCGCAAGCCGAAGTCCTGCGTCGCCTCACATAAGTCCACGGGGACTATTACCCTAAACCCTGGACCTTCTGCAAATTGCAGATTCCGGAGGCTAAGACAAGCGGATGGAAAAAGGCGCTCGAAACAAAAACCTAAACCCCCAAACCCCTAAACCCCAAGCCCTACACCCAAACCCCACAGCCCTGTAGTCCCAAAGCCCTTCGGCTGTCAGGAGAAGCCCGACTTCTCTAAGACCCGCTTGTGCACCAACTACTTCAAGACGAAGTCGCCCTTTGGAAAGGAAGTGGGGCTCGAGACGTGGGCTCGGAGTTTGGAGAGGGGGTTCAAGGTGTCGGGCTTCGGAAGGATTCCGGGTTTGAGGTTCCAGGGGTTTCAGGTTTAGCCTCAGGGCTTTGGAGCCTCCTCGCGGGGTATCTAGTTCGTGAACTTAGTGGGAGTTTCCGAAAATAGGGGACCCTAATATATAATAGTACCCTCCATAATAGGATCCTTAATATAAGGACCCCAAAATAAGGTACCCCTAATTATCGGAAGCCCCCAGTTCTCTAGCTCTCAATCTCAAGGGCCATCACACGAGCCGAAGCCTCCTTTAGCCACCTTAAGGCCCATGTCAATCCCAGCACAACCCTGAGCCCAATCCTGGGTCCTGGGACCGCCCAAACCCCAAATCCCAAGATCCAACTTGAAGAATCTTAATCGTCACTCCTCCAACTCAGAAGCTCTTGTCGTCACAGAGACGGACGATGTTTTTCTGACGCTTTCCATTTTCTGCAGACCAACCATGCTGTGTGTTTCTTCATCTAGTCTGGATATTGCTATTGATTGGTGCTTCTTATTTCAGGGGAATGGGTGACCACGAGTGTCCCTCGCTACCGGAACCCAGGTGTCCCTATGGCATGCGCTGCAGCTTCGCCCACAGTATCCCGGCTCGACGAGCTTCTGCGCCTTTACTGTCTGCTATGCTTTGTGACTGAGGCATTCGGTCGAAAAGCACGGCAGTTTCATGCACGTGTACGTATGTACGCACGTGTGTTTGTCTGTATGTTAGTATGTGTGTTGATGTATGGCATGTATGTGTCGAAGCGCGCAAGCATCGTGTGCCTACCTACGTTTGCACATGTATGTATGTGTATGTATGCATGCATGCCCACTACCACTGAACGCGTGCAAGCCCTCTGGTTTTACCAAGCATGTAGACATTGATAGTACAAGGTAGGCCAGAGCACAGCGCAGCACAGACAAAAGAGTAGTAGTACACTGGAACAAAATCGCAATACGGTAGAAGAGCGTGCAGTAATGCTCGAGAGAACGATACAGATATCGCACTAAGTGTTGCAGTCTACAGTGCTCAGTACTGCAAGCCTCGGACGTGTCGGATCCCCCAAACTCTCCACAAAAGGAGCAGTTGTAATGCACCTTGGCAGTCCCGTTCTATTTTGTTGTTGCTACGATATACCGCGCAACAGGGTTTCGGGGCTCATCTGATATCCCCCACCGATATAGGATCAAGGTTTGTCGCTCGGCCAAGCTGAAGGTTTTCGGGTCCAGGTCCTGGGCTCAGGGTTAAGGATGGCTAAGGCTTTCAGAACTCCGACGAGTCCTGCAAGGCTTACTATACGGGGTCCCAGGAGGTTGCTACAAGGCTGGCTAGAAGGGCTCCATCAGGGGTACTTCTCGTATTTCATGAAGGGTAGTTGCCTCCATAGCCCAACAATCGAAAGCTGTTCGCCGGACACCGTGGCCACCTAACTTCTAGTCATTCTAGTCTGAATCTAAGGTTCAAGCCCCAGATGCCATGCATTGAAACCCTGAATATAGAAGCCTGTGCCCTAAGCAATCAGAATTGTTGTTCCTTAGCGTTCCTTAAGCATAGTATACTCTACCGCAAGCCTCCTATAGTGCACATGCCAAAGCCTTGACTAGGAAGACTAGAAGGCTTTGCGAACAGCCCTGGCCACGACACGAGGCAAAGACGAGATGCGTTCGGCGGCGCGTTCGCGCGCCGCCCGTGAGAAGGTGATAATCGACCTCCCAGAGGCTGCGCATGCCTAAAGAACAGGGATCTGAAGAATTATAATTTTGGTTTTTCTGGTTTTAACCCTTGGGAATATATGGGACTATTGCTGTAATTATTAGAGCCGCTATATTGCCGGGACTTGAATGATGACTGGTCGGATCCCTTTTAGGTTCGGGTTTGGCTACTGTCCGGGGCACTTGATAGCTGGTCTGGGGATGCAGGGGTACTTGTTTAGATACTCGGGGCTTTCAGATTCGGGGCTTCTGACACGCCAACTTTTGGGGCTGTCCTATAGCCAGTGCCCAGAATCTGTACAAAGCCCTACAGCCCCTAACCCCTTTGCCAAACCCCCCAAACCCCGGACAGTCCGGATAAAGTATTCAGCCCGAGACCTTCCGCTTAAGTCTTTTGCTTTGGTCAGGAGCCTGGAATCAAGACGCGAGAGACTCGTGAGGAGTCGACGACGCCCATTCGGCGATGCTTAGGGGCCTTTGTGTGGGGCATCGGCAGTTGTGGCTTTTGCGGGGTGGGGTTCAGGCTTTGGGTAGGGTTTTGCGGGGTCAGGGTTTGGTTTACTAAGTGCAAGAGATTGCTTGTTACCAAGGGCCGCTGAATCCTCCGCAAACAACGACTATGCCCGAAAGCATGAAGCCCCAAAACAATCGCCTGAAGTCCCGATGCACGGAAGCCCTAATATCCTGTGGACTCAAGCCCAACAATCGTAAACAACCCTCAAGCTCTCAAGCCTAAACAGTCCCACAACAGCCCTCAAGCCCTATAGCCCCAAACGCCTGATAAACGATGTCTGCATGATTCCAAATCCTAATCCTATCCTGATTGTGATTGTAAAAGCCATGAAGGCCCAGTTTCCGACCCAGCACTTAGAGTCTTGACAGAACCAGCTCGCACGAGCCAGGTCACTTGTCGCTTCGCAGAGGCGACCTCGTCTCGGGTTTAGGGCTTTTGGGGCTCTGGAGGTCTTGGCTTCAAGAGCCCCGAAGACCCTCAGCCTCAATGCTAAGCATCCCAAAAGCTGCCCATCCCTAAACACCAAACTCCAAAGGTTCAAAACCCCTTGCAAGAAAGTCATGGGGCTTGTTCTTAAGGTGCCTTCGTTTGCGACGATGATGAATCTCCGAACTGGGCATCGCTGACATTTAGATATAGCCCAACATGCGGGGTAAGTTGTGATTCCAGCTGAAGACCCGACCCACCCTACATAACGGTTAACGAGGCTGCAGCATCATCAGCGATGAGGGTCTGCATAAAACGCGCCCGAAGCCCGAGAAGTGCGGGCCTTTGACATTCCAGGCTTGGGTCCCACGACACCCCGGTGCTGCAGGACGGCCCTTTCGTTCTGGGAGACACGAAGCCGGCGTTTCGGCGTTCGGTTGGGGGGGGGGGGGAGTAGAATGATGGTTTAGGTCTGCTTGAGACGTCCTTGGGCTCTCTTCCGGCAAGCTACCGGCAAATATGTTTCAACCGACTTAGAACCTGACAGTCTAGGTCTTGGAAATCGCTCTCTCCTCGCAAGCATCATGGCATAGCGGCTCATGGCCTAAGAACTCAGAGTTGTTTCGTTGGGGGGCATGGTTGAGGTTCGCATCGCTTGGTGGAAAAAGGTTCTAAAACGTCGTAACCCCAAAGGCCTGAAGGGCACAGGCCGGCCGAGGGGAACGCGACACCGACCCCCCACAAGGCTTTTCAGCCTACGTCGGTTTTCCTTTCTCGGGGTTCCAAGCCTTCGCCTTTCAGGCTGTTGAGAGGCTTCTAGCCTTCGTTTGGCAAGAGCCTGGGTTTAGATGGGTTACGGCTTAGGCTTTACGGCTTTGCCTCGCTGTCAGGAGCCGATTTACATCGCGAGTGGCGAGGACGTTTGATTCAGATCGTGCCGCCGGCATCTCTGATTAGGTCAACCTGCGTACATCTCCAACCTCTCAGCCCACAACCTCAGGGGCCGGGATCCTGAGCATTAAGTCCCAAACTCCAAACCCTAAATCCTAGAACCCCAAACCAAACCCGAAGCTCGAAGCCCCGAGACCCAACAAAAACTGTTCCAATGCTGGGCCCTTGAAGGGGAAGATGTTAGGGCATACGGTTTTAGGCTCCAGGGTTTTAGCGCTCAGGGCTTTCGGGGTTTAGGGTTAATCGTAGGAACAGGGTTTTGGGTTTAGGATAATGTTGTGGTTGGCCTGCCCTCTTCTTTTTGTGGCTTGGGCTCCATGTCGTGATGGGTTTAGAAGGGTTCTTAGAAGGGTTCTGTAGTGGCTGCAGGCTTTTTGGTGGTAGAGGGTCTTAATGCCCAACCAAAAGAGGCTACTGGGGTGTATAATGGGAAATTATGGTACAACTAGACCTAGAAAGGGAATCCTATTCCCATTATTCAGACCCCCCGCCCCCCATACTTGCGGGAGTCGACCGGCATCCAGGAGTCGGAAAGATTTCCAACACGTTTCCTTAGGCTTGCTTGGTATGACTACAGTGACTACAATAATTAGAAGATATACTTCAAAAGCCGCCTGACGCTGGCGTTCGGCCAAATCCCAGACTAGCTGCAGGACCTTTTGCGCCGTCCCGATGTTGACTTGGCGCAAGACCTGGCGTCGTCACCCGTTCCGCATTTGCGATGCCGATTCTCGTTTGCTTGTCCGCTAAGCAGTCCCTGAACCCGACAGTCCCCAATACCCTGCCATCCCCTTTCCTCAAAACAGCCACCAAAAAGCCCGAACAACCCCCCGCTCCTCACTCCTCCCTTCCCACAAGATTGAGAGATGCCACACAGACAAAAAGTCACGGCAGAAAGTGAGCACCACCCCGCTCAGGATCCCGTGGCTCCGCTATGGGAGTGGCTCCTCCGCGACTCCACCGACCTCCTCGACTCCGCCTGCCTCGATGACACCACAGGCTGCCTTCTTAATTTTTTTTGTGGTGTTTTGCTATTCTTCGGTTGTTTGGGGGCTCCTTTGGGGCTTAGCGGTTGGGGTCTAGTGGATTCAGGTCTGAGGTTTGGCGGTTCGGGGGTTGAAGAGTTGAGGGGTTGAGAGCTGCGGGGCCAGTGTGTAGGAGTGTAAGGATTTTGGGTTGAAAGGGTTGGTTCGCGTCGCTTTCTGCCGTGGTCATCCCTTTTGTGCAACTCGACGGCTGGGCGTGTCCCGATCAGGGATTAGTACCCTTTTCGAGTCTATCGCCATCTACATCATTCTCGTCGTCGTAGTCTCCCCTGTCGCTGGTGATAATGGTGATGTTGTTACCATCTTGATTCTTATGTACATATAATATATATATATATATGCTAACCCCAAGAA